TCCTTCTTTACCAAGTTACCATTTAATCTTAATGTTTGTTAAATGGTACATTTAACCTTGTTTACAACTTCAGCGTTTGTTTTGCACCAACTGCACTAGATACACATGGCTGTGTCAATAATCAATCGCATTATTCTACCCCCAAGGAGTAAAGTCGCGGAAGAACAGTAGAGTTCATATCTATAGACTATAGTCCATGCATTATTCATAGATGTTATAAATAACCTCAATAGTATTACCTAGTAGTAACCCATTTATACACTTCTCACCATAAAAAGAAGGTTGTTATTGAATTATTAATAGTTAGGTGAAACACTATTTTCTTGCCTCTATAAAAATAGGCTGGTTCATTTATTGCACGAGTAATGTTAATGACAATGCTGCCTTATCTTAAATTTGCTACTGGAGTTTGTCAATTGTGTTACGATTACATTCTTTATTTTTGCTAAAATTTCATGATTATCTAGTTTGCAAATTATTTGTGGCTATCGTGTGTTGTTAGAAATTAAATGGTGGTACGTTGTATCAATCAATCACATGAAAAATAATTAAGAATCCTATGTTTTCTTCTCTCTATGAGATTACATTACAACTAGCAAAAATGAAATTCCCCATTAGAATTTGTGAAGAATTTAACAAATGGTGGGTTAAGAAAAACATAAAATAATTAAATATTTCAGAACAATATACTATTATTTTTTGTTTTTCTTAACACACCATTTGTTAAATTCTTTCTAGTCGATTTTAGATAAAACAAATATTTTGTTTTTCTTCGATTATTAAGTTTCCCAGTTGTTGTATTTCCAACTTCCAAGATGTTAAACTTCAAATTGTATTGATGAAAAACTTGAAATAGTATCGCATTACTATGGTTGATTATTTGCATATAATTTATCATCTGGTGACGTCTTCGCATGGTAAGCAAAAGAACAAAGAACATTCTATTCCAGCGAAGTAGACTCCAGAAAATCCCAGCCGCCTACGCGGCGCGTGAGGTGTAAGGTAAGTATAACGGCGAGCCGTGAAATGACGGTGTCAGCCGTGGACCTAACTTGATGGGTCCGTGCCATCTCTGAGGACGTACAGTTTTATGAATGAGCCCACGTGACCCGCCACCACTTCCTCAAAACCTGTGCTTTCGTACTCCAAAAAGAAAAACTTTTGTCGCTTCTTTTATTGGATTCACCAGTTACTGTTTTCTGATTAAATATTCACACGATTCCTTCGAAACAATCAAAACTAAAGAAAATGAAACTGTATACGTTACTCTTTGTTTCACTTTAAAAGAGAAAAAAAAGTAAATTACTCAGTCTCTATAATTTGATGAGTATTGTTGTTATTGAAAGTCTCAATTTATCACCTGTTACAAAATATAAACATATTATATTGTATTTAAATATAAATTGTAAAAGTCGACAAATCTTTTTTTTTTTTTGTGTGAAAGACTCGACTTGAAAAACCTCCATAATAGCTTAAAAACAAGTACCTAATTTATTGGTTACCCTCGAGTTAGCAAATTACTCTTTCTCCCTGAACAAACTATTATGAAAAAGAAAAACAGTACAAGATTGGAGTGGAAAGTTATTATTCTGAAATGGTGACAAAACGAAAGGTTTTATCCAATGTCGGTAGCTCAATTCATTTATCTCGTTTTGGATGAATATATACTAGTATAACGTGGTTGGTGGTAAAAAAAACAAACGATTAGTTAGTGTAAGAAATGAGCATCTGTCAAAACTTTTAAATAACATAAGAAAGTACTGTATAATATTTTATAAAAAAATCTTGTAACATCACGAGTTATGATATATGGAAAGACTTAAAAAATTACCTATGTCACTAAAATGTACTTACCATTTCGGGAACATATCTAGAAAGAGTTTCAGAGTTAAACGTGCTTGAGCTGGAATAGTTTAAAGATGGATGACGTATCGGGAAATGATTTATGATACCGTGTAAATGAGGACAAAACACGGAGAAATGTTATTGCAGGATCAATAAACATGACTTTAGAATCTTAGATAATTAATGGACCGATCGTTGGAACGGGATGAAACCCACATATCAAGAAAGCGGACGTGGATGGTCCATTAGCCGTGGGCGGTCAGAGCGTTACAAATCTATTATTATTCACTACTTTTTTGTTGATGAACGTGTATGGATAAATTTTCATATAAATCTTTAAATTACTAGTATAATCTTACACTTTGGGAATTCGTATTCGTGATTCGAGAGTGATATTTTGTCTTTCAAGTGAAAACAGATTATGTTTAGATAATGGTGGATGGGTTATAGCATTTATTAATTTCGTTGGTCTTTTTTCTTCTTTCTGCTAAGTGCTAGCCTTTTGGGACCATACCCTTCGACTGTATGTCGAGTGATATACGTTTCAAATTAAGTCCAAGTTACGTGTTATTTGCATGTACTTTTATATATAAGTATATACGTATAAATGTCGAGACTAATACTTCAACAAAAATGCGGAGACGAATAGTAGCTTTTTGTTATGCATAAGTGACGTGTTTTCGACAGTTAATTATAAAACGAAAAAGAACAGTACTGATAACAACGTTGTTACAACGAGACACTTGACCGGATTTCATTAGATTAGTTTAGGTTTGATTGTGACCGAACCGTGATAGAGTCGACCATTTAACCTAATCTTTAAAGTGTTGGGACCATCAACATCTTTTGATTCATTTACCTGAATTTCATAAAACTCTAAAACTAATTATCATATCCTTCCCGATCATACCTATTGCTATTACCAATTATTTTATCGACTTTTCATTTTGGCAGCAAGTGCCAAGCAATATATACTCCTTTCATTGTCATCTCATACATACCGTTCCTTTTTAGCTCAACTATACCAGTTTATTTTCATTTATCTTCAGTTCATCGTATTTTATTTTGATTATTATTTTGAGAAAACAATATATAATGAGGAATTCAACTCAAGAATCATACTAAAGATCCAACCCATAATGTATAAATATTTTAATATATAGTTAGGCCTTAGATGAGACCTGTAATCAGATGATTACAAAACAGCTAATATTAGGTGGATAAGCCAACCTTTAGAGTTTAGACTTTAACATTTAAACGTCTCGCATTTGAGATACATAACTGAACATCTTCAAAAGGTAAAGACGTACGGGACATGTTAAGCAGTATGTTCGCTCGATGTCCACGCACTTAGAGTATGATTATAGGAGTTTCTTAGAGAGTTTTTTAAGGGTTTTTACTGCGTGAGTTCCATGAACAATATAATCGGTTACAAAAACTATAATTTAAGAAACCAAGTGGGCTTTAAGGGATAATCATGTCCTTACATGCATCTACTTAGTTTAATACGAGCAATATAGATTACGCTTTTGATTGTTTCGAACACAAGTGAGTATCGTATAAGACTAATGTTTTGTCAGTTTTTGCTGTTGTGTTTGGTTATATGCTATAATTAATGTTTTATACTTTCTAGTAGGCCTGCTCAATCTGGTGTTCGCTCCGGTTTCGATTCGTTTTTTTTTCGGTTTTCGGTTATTCGGTTTATAAAAATTAGCTACCATTTTGGAACCATATTTAATTTGGTTTGGTTCGGTATTTATACTACCGGTTTTCGGTTTATTCGGTTTTATACCAAATAACATTATTATTTGATTTGGTTTCATATTATATAATTTTTTTTAAAAAAACATATTGTCAAAACTATCATTTATTAAAATAATTCTAGGTGTTCATAAATATAAAAATGTGAAATTAACAACAAACAAAACGATCAACGATTCAGTTTTGTATAGCTTTTCTTATTTTCTCTTTGTTCTTCCAAATAAATTACATGGTACAATCTAATTTCACAATTTCTTACAACATGTAAAATCAAATCAAATTTAGATGATAGTTGAAGAAAATAAAATAAAATTATTAAGATATATCTTCAAAAGGTATAAAAAATATAAATAAAAAGACTATTCAAAGAAAATAAATGGTTATATAATGTATATATTTATATATTTTTTCTTTGATCGGTTTTGTTCGGTTTATTCGGTTTAATCGGTTATAAACCTAACCATATCCAAATCCTACGGTTTTATAAAATCATATCCATTCAGTTTATATGGTATATACCAAATCCAAACCATATTATCTATTTCGGTTCGGTACGGTTCGGTATCACCATATTGAACATCCCTACTTTCTAGCTATAGAACTTCTTTTGACTAAAATTAATCTATAGTTTGTAGACGAGTTATAAAAGCATGTATACTTATCTTTTCGTTTGCCTTTGGCTTTTAGGTTAACAAACTACTTATAAATGTTGATTAATACATAATTTAATCGTAAGATAACAACATTTCAAGTTCAAAAAAAAAAAAAAAAAAAAGATAACAACATTTCGATAACATGCAGACGTAAACAAAAAATAATTGAAAGGCTAATAACACAAACAAAAAAGGATGTAGGCCCATAATAAAGAAAAACAAGAAGATGACGTAACTACAACTGTTTTGTGAAAGTCCACACAGTTAACGAGTTCTATATGTGAAACAAATTAAAGAAGCAAAACAAAGCTAATAAGTTTGATCTGCCGAAAATGATAGAAATGATTTTGATTTCTATCAATAATTTTGTTGAGATTTAGCCTTGAGCCAAATCCATAAAACAATCATTTTAATACAATACTTTTTATAACAAAGAAAGTTAACTTTTCTTACAAAACAAAAACTAAAGGTCTTTAAAAAATCCCATCACTAGTGGGAGGTAAAGGCAAAGAAGCTGAGATGGATGGTTGATGATGACCTGTTATTGTGTAGCACTAAACCTTTTAAGACCTTCCAAGATTCGAAATCTGATGAGATGAGATGATTTGTTGTATATCATTATTAAAGAGAAACACTACCAAACAACACTACACTGTGCTTTTATCCAAACATGAAAAAAATAAACTTATCGGTAGAACGAACAGAAAAATAGTACTGTACTTGGTACAAAGTTATAAGACCCGGTTTAGTAAGTTACCAAAACTAAAATTACCCGATTTTGTTGAACCGGTATATGAGGTCAAGTCACTAAAATCCCTGACTGCTTCACAAGCTTAAGTTTGACTACTTGATCAAGGAGATAAAACAACAACTTGAGGAGCTATGCGTGAGGATGCTGTTGCAGAAGATTTGATTCTTTCAAAGAGTAACCGAGCATCGGTTGATGAACATCCCTGCTTCATTTCAATAGCTACTGGATATTGCGACGATTTATTCATTTCTACCACTATCATTCCCTGCAGCAACATAAAAACTGAACAGTTTGTACCCCCCAAAACAAAAAACAAAGCTACCATGGTTTGGGTTTACATAGTTTCTATATTCAGCTTATGTTTGGTGTCTCTGATCATGAGTGACTACTTATTGAGCCTTGAAATATAACAACTGAAGAAAAGGATCTATGGGTTTACCTCAAAGTCAGCTAGAAACAACTGAAAGCCTTTTAGTTTCTCCTTCATCATGGCATTTTCTTTTGGTGGTGCTGAAGAGGAAAGCGCAGCTGTGACCTCCATGGATGAATGACCTATCCTTCTTTGTACAACCTGCAGGGGGGAATAACATGGACTATCTTCATTCCAACACGACAAGGAAAATATTGAGAAATAAGAGATGAGACTCACGTCATTATGGAGTAAGATCTCACATATGAGACTACCATCATCGACGTAGCATATAAGCTCAAAAGTAGACTGTTGCTTGAACTGGAACTTCTTCACTCCGGTTAGAAAGCACTGCAAAAATGGATACTTAAGTTTCACAGATTGAGAGACTGAGAGAGTTTTGGTGTTAGTACCTTAATCCTTCCTCGAACAAAGGGCATGGTATCTTTCATTAGTGCCCACTTTTGATCCATCTCGGCCAAGTAGGTGAAAGGCGTCTCCGGATTTGTAGACATCACAGAGGGGGTTTCCAAATCGACAACCATATTACTGACTTCATCATCAGCTTCAGCGCCTGAACCTGAACCATGTACAGCCCCCGTTGTATCCCTCACAACATCATTGTCGATGTGCATTTCTTCGACAAATGAAGTTACGTTGGATGCTTGTTGATCCAAGGTATTTTCGCAGCCGTTGTTGTACAAAGGTCTTGTACCATTACAGCTAGTACGAGGTGTGGATGCTGTCATGTGAATGTTACTAGAAGTCGAATGCAAACCAGAGAACGTTCTTTCCCCGTGGGTAGCAGCCGTATCAATCTGCATATGCTCAACCCTTGAAACAGTAGCTTCCACATTGATGGAAGCAGGAGGATTACTCATCGTCCGTGGACTGATATGAGTTCTTGTTACATTCACAGAATTGCCTGCCATAAATGTTTTGGTTAAAAGAGAGTATCCACTAATAATCTCAAAAGAAATGGTTGTATCATGCTACTGAAAGTTCTAATAACAGCCTTCTTCCTCTCAGAAAGACACCAAACTTTATTTTATTGTTGTGACTCTGCTATAGTTAAGTGAGGAAAAATCATAGTAAACACTGAAAGAACTCTGATTCAGCTCTAGCGTGTCATGATTTACGATATAAAACAGAAAAGGTAAAAAAATGGCCTTTTCCTGAGCAAGAGGATTTAATGTAGAAATATCCATACCTTGAACACTGGTCTGAACGTGACTAGCATTTCCCGAGGTAGAATTGTTAGCTTGATTACCAGTATCAGTGTCATTTGGCGACCACGCAGCTCGACTTGCTCTGGTTGCCAACGAAGCAACACCTCTGCTCCTTGTTCTGCCAAATTGAACTAGAGTAAGCACATAGAATAATTGGTAGTGTGTATAATATGTGTAAACGTTAAATCATGCATCATCTTTCCGAGAGAATCCAATCCAAATATTTGCCAGCAGGCAGAGTTACTCTTCACTAGTTTAAAAAACCCAAAGTCAACGAAACCAGTGAAACACTTGAAGCAAATAATATTTCCAGCTTAAAAGGACACCACGACACACTAATAGTTCTAACTAAAGAGACACCACGACGCAACTTTCTTGAGCTGGAAGAGAAAATCCCAAGTTCTAAACAATGTAAAACCAGTCTCTGAAAAACCCTACCTTAATCCTCTCGGAGGTTTGTTCACTTCAATAACAAGACGTTTTCGTGCTTCTTCCAATTCTTCAACCATCCCTCCTAAAACTTGTATCGTCTCAGGTACTAGCATTAAAAGCCCATGCCTAACTTGTACGTTAGATACAACAATCTGCATTTACTCTCCTTGTCAGTACTTACAATACAAACCAGCAGCTACAATCATAAAAGCATGAAGTTTAAAATACAACACCCTAAAGCCTGTATATTGGCCTTATAATCAAATTCCAGATAGAATAGTAAAAAAAAAACACACAAACCTTTAAACCAGCAGGAGCCAAGACTTGCAAATCTTTAATAGGTCTATACTCCATACCAAAAACACGTTGAAAACCATCCGTCATAGACAGCTTCAAACACCTCTTAAGCCCCGCATTAGCGTTCTCATACCTCCCTTTGAGTGAACACCCAATGTTAACAATCTCATCAACCTAATTCACCAACCACCACAACGTTCAGTAAACAAAAAAAAAATCCACACTTTATAAAAACCCAAAAGAAACAAAACAACCTGCAAAACAAACGGACCAGCGAGTTCTTCAAGAATCAAAGACGCAACGTTCCGAGGAAGCACCCCACCTCCCATTAGATTCATATCGCTAAACAGAAACTGTTCAAAGCAATGCTTAGCTTTCGCTTCAACCTCGAGGCGAGAGAACTCTTGAACTGAGACTTCAAGGTGAGAAAGACAAGAGACCCACCACTCTGTTTTCAGCTTAATCCCCTTTCGCATCAGAGCCTCAGCGATCGGAGAGTCGTAATCATTATCAACCGGAGAGGGATCGCCGGAGACGTCGATAATCTCAATTTCTGGAGGATTAGGGTTTAAAGTCGAAGCTGAGGAGCTTTCTGGTTGAATTGAAGGATCACGGCCAATGCTCTGAGCAGAATCTCCGATTCCGCTTGTTCCAGTTTCATCTTCTCCTTCTTCTACTTCTTCGTCGGAGTAGTGTTGGAGTCTCAGCCGCCGTCGTCTAGGCATATCTCGCCGGCGAAAAATTAGGGATTTGTTTTTTTTTTTTTGTTTTCCCTCCAAAATATTATTTGTTCTTTTTTAAAATCAGTTTAAATGGGCGGCAAACTAAGCCTATTAATAAAACTAGGCCGCGTTTTGTAGTTAGCTGTTAGGCCTTAAATGGGCTTATTAGGAGGTTAAGTAGGCCCATTATAGAAAGATAGGGCCTTTTAGATGTGTATATATTTGGGTAAGTTTGCCGCGAGATGTGAAAATTTTCGTTGGCGAAAGAGAGAGCCCGCCATTGTGTTCTAAAATTTTGGCACCAGAAACTTTTGAAAATCCCCAAAATTCGATTTTGTGTTCTCTTCTTATTGATTTTAGGGTTTTCAAGACTCTCGCGATAAGCTCTGAGATCTATAGTTTTTTTTTTAAGCTGATTTTGTTTCCTCGATTTGGACTCACATGGCGAGTGAAACCCTAGATGAGAAGATACCGGAGGTCGAATCTCCGGCGAAGGAGGAATTAGGTGGTGGAGATGGATCTAAGGCGAAAGAAGAAGCGGATCCCTCGAGAATTGACGAGGCGGAGAAGAAGGAAGAGGTAGAAGAGGAGGAGGAAGAAGGGAGTGGGAGTAAGAAGGGTTCGGAGGCGGTGACTCCGAGTAGCGATAGGCCAACGAGGGAGAGAAAGCAAGTTGAGCGTTTCTCTTCGTCTGGTCCTGTTCGAGTTACGCCGAGCAAGTCCGTTTCGATTGAAAAGGTATTCCTTTTTTAGTAATTCATGTTTCTTTGTGGATTTATATTCATTAGTTCTTGTTTTTGTGTGTGTGTTTGTTAGGGTCGTGGAACACCGCTCAAGGAGATTCCAAATGGTATGTATTCATGTTCATTACTTAATACTTTGTGGTTAAATTCTTCTGGTGGTTAAATTCTTGTGGATCTGTGAATTTTTCAACTTATTGCTGTTAAATGAATAGTCTTTGATGCTTTCATGATACATCTCTTAGATCTAGAAGATTAGATAGCTGTTATACAAGCTTGTGCTTTTGTATTCAGATAAAACATTTCATCTTGCAGCTATCACAGTTAGCCTAGTAACTACTTCGTTTTGTATTGGTAAACATACATAAGCATTTAATTAGACACATATCTGAATATAAGAATGACTTTCTAGTGGAATATTCTGTGGTTTGGTTTTACTTACTAGATTTCAATTCAGGTTATGCTTTGGTAGCTAACTGTGCTGTCGATATTAGCTGTTATATAACCATTTAGTTAGACACAGATCTGTAGAAATGAACACCTTATACACGCTTGTGCTTTTTTATTCAGATAAAATAATTTCATCTTGTAGGTATCACAGTTAGCCTAGTAACTACTTCGTTTTGTATTGGTAAACATACAGAAGCATTTAATTAGACACATATCTGAATATAAGAATGACTTTACTGATAGAATGACTTTATAGTAGAATAATCTGTGGTTTGGTTTTACTTACTAGATTTCAGCTCAGGTTACTCTTTGGTAGCTAACTGTCGAGTGTCGATATTAGCTGTTATATAACCATTTAATTAGACACAGATCTGATAAAATGAACACTTTATACAAGCTTGGAATTTTGGATACAGATGATATATTTCATCTTGTAGCTATCACAGTTAGGCCTATTAACTATTTCGTTTTGCACTAGTAAACCTATAGAACCATTTAATTAGACAGATATTGAATATATGAACTCCTTTGACAAGCTTTAGCTTTCGGTTTACTGATAGAATTGACTTTCTAGTGGAATATTCTATCTTGTAGCTATCACAATTAGCTTATTTACTGCTGTCTGTGGTTTGGTTTTACTTCAGTAGATTTTAGTTCAGTTTTCTCTTTGGAAGCTCACCTGTGCTGTCGATGTTAATTAGAAGATGATAAAACTACTTCGTTTTGCATTGGTAAACCTATAGAAACCATTTAATTTGACGCATGTTGAATATATGAATACCTTTGACAAGCTTTAGCTTTCGGTTACTAATAGAATGACTTTCTAGAGGAACACAATTAGCATGTTTACTACTGTCTGTTGTTGGTTTTACTTCAGTAGATTTCAGTTCAGTTTTCTCTTTGGAAGCTCACTTGTGCTGTCGATGTTAATTGGAAGATGATAAAACTGTTCTTTCTTTGTTTTTTTTTGGAAAATTTAGTTCGTTTGACAGTCTTGTTGTTTTACATATATTGGCTAAGAAATCTGTTTGATAATGTTGGCTATTTCAGTTGCTCATCAACTATCTAAGAGAAAAGCTGACGACAACCTGATGTTGCTACACACCATTCTGTATGGGAAGAAAGCAAAGGTGCTTTAAAAGTTTGATCACAGTTTTGTTACATTTGATATGTATTTTTCTCTTGCAAGCGTGTCCCAGAGTTCAATCATGTCTGACACTTAAAAGAGTTTTGTGAAAATCGCTCTGCAGGCACAAATGGTTAAGAAAAACATTGGTCAGTTTTCTGGCTTTGCATGGTCAGAGAAAGAGGTAAAGTATTCTGTTTCTATTTTGTTGTAGGGATTTATATTCTGTTTTGCCTCTTGTTGAGACTTTAAATGTTTTCCAGGAGGAGAAGCAAAGAGCACGAGTAAAGGAGAAACTTGACAAATGCGTAAAAGAAAAATTAATCTTCTTCTGTGACATACTTGATATATCTATTAACAGAAGCAGCATAAGAAAAGTAAGTAATAAGATGTGATTTGTCTATTTATTGTACCTTGCCCTTTATTCTAACCTATAAGAAACCTTTGTCCTGATTCTCTCAGGAAGAAGTAGCTGTCAAAGTGCTTGAATTTTTGGAATCTCCCAAGGCAACAAGAGATGTTATACTTGCTGATCGTGAAAAGGTACTGTTTGATCCACTACATTACTGTTCATGTTCATCGTCAGTATGGGAGCATTGATATATTTTTTGGAATTATATATTTTAGCAAGCTAAAAAGCGCAAGAGCACACAAAGAAAGGGGAAATCTGGAGAATCTTCGGAAACCCCAGCCAAGGTTTGTAGTTTCTTATCTCTAGACTATAGTACAGTTTGTATTCCTGGCATGCTACTGGTTGGTAACTGTGTTACCATTAGCTCCTTTTTTATCTTCAGTTTCTAACATGTTCCTCATATGGCTGATGTTGATTTGGATTCTAAATGTATTTGCCTTTTTACCTGTGTTCTTGATTTATTGACTGTTGAGCATGGGTCTTACAAACATCTCTTGTGTGTATGTTTTTTACTAAACAGAGGAAAAGGCAAACAAAAAAGCGAGATCAGCCATCTGAGGCAGAAGAAGGCAAAGATGAGGGTGATTCTGATTCTGAAGGTACTAAGGATACTCATGAAGAAGATGATGCAGCACGAGAAGAAGAAGAAAGTGACCATGAAAAGGCTGGAACTGAAGATGAGAGAGACGAAGAAGAAGATGAAAAGCCATCTGCTAAGAAAATTTCGTCGAAAAAGACTGAAGAGAAGAGCTCAGGGACCAAAGGTAAGGAGAAACAAGCTTCTGCCAAAGGTTCTAAAAAATCGGGTGAAAAGTCCTCCAAAAGAGTTGCCAAGTCAACTTCATCCCCAGCCAAGAAGCAAAAAGTTGATCACGAAGAGTCTTCTAAAGGGAAAAGCAAGAAACAGTCAACTAAGACACAGGCAAAGGGATCTAAAGAAAAAGGTTATAACCATTCTCAGCTACTTCTAAAGCTTAAGACTTGCTCGATTTTCGTTTTTTTTAATGAATTTGAAGCTCATTACTCTTCTGTTTTTACTTACTATCATGGATTGGGTGCAGGAAAAGCCATTAAGAAAGGCAAAGCAGAGCCAACCAGAGAAGAGATGCTTGAAGTGGTGATCAAAATGCTGAAGGAAGTAGACTTCAATACGGTGAGCTAGTTCAATTTGCTGTAATATAATAGTCGATGACCTTGAATCAATGTTCTTATACTCGATTTGTTTTTTCTCCTTAACAGGCAACATTATCGGATATTCTGAAGAAGCTAAGTACGTTCTTTAATTTTGGTTATGTATATTGCCATCCATGTTTAATTATATTTTTCCAAGTGTTGAGCAGCTTTTGTATGTTATAACATCAGGCAAGCATTTCGGTGTTGATCTCTCGCATAGAAAACCAGAGGTTAAGGCTGTTATCACAGATGCTATAAGTGAAATGAGTGAAGAAGAAGAGGAAGAGGAGAACTCCGAGGCTGGAAGCGACGAAGAGAAGGAAGAAGAAAAAGATGAGGCTGAAAGTGACAAAGAGAAGGACGAAGAAGAGGAAAAAGCTGAGGCTGAGAGTGACAAAGAGAAGGAAGAAGAAGAAAAAACTGAGGCTGAGAGTGACAAAGAGAAGGAAGAAGAGGAAAAAACTGAGGCTGAGAGTGACAAAGAGAAGGAAGAAGAGGAAAAAGCTGAGGCTGAGAGTGACAAAGAGAAGGAAGAAGAAGAGGAGAAGCCAAAGGATTGAGGTTAGTGAGTTTCTTCTCTCGAGATCTGATGTGAAGAGGAATCAAAACTAATCAAACACTGTGAAAGTGACAACGAGAGTGTTGAATCTGTACTTTGTACTACTATGTAATCTCTATAGTTTCATTCATGTAGTGACTTCTTGTGTAGCTGTTAGGTGTTTTTTCCTAATCCTTGTTCTATATGTTACCCTTGACAGCAAATTTTATTTTTTATGGGTTTAAGACTATTTATCATTATAGCCACCAACTCCACTATTATTTATTTGAAATGCAATTTCATGATTTACATAAACCAATCTAAAGCTCTAATTTTTATGTTCATATCCGAATTACAACTTCCAAAAAACTAATTATACAACACACGAAATTACATGTATTTGACCCAGTTAAAATATTTGGAGCATCCCTTTGATAGAGCTGGGTAACCGGGTCGGATCCCACCCGGTTTAGACATATAAAAACACAGTAACTCTCTATCCCCTTATCTTGTTGACTCTTCCTCTCACAAACACCCACCAACTCCGACCTTCTCAAGCAAAGATGTCGGCGACGCTTACAGGATCAGGAACCGCTTTAGGATTCTCATACTCCTCAAAGATCTCCAAGAGAGTCTCTCCTTCTCCTCTTAACCGATGCTCCATCAAGATGTCAGTCTCCGTCGACGAGAAGAAGAAAAGCTTCACTCTTCAGAAATCCGAAGAAGCTTTCAACGCTGCTAAGGTTAGTAAAGATTCATTTATAATTCGATAATTAGATTGAAAGTTAGAGTCTTTATTGAAAATGATCAGACTTTTAGTTGCCAAAGGACTAAACTTTCATGTGATTCAGAATCTGATGCCTGGAGGTGTGAACTCCCCTGTTCGAGCTTTCAAATCCGTTGGTGGGCAACCTGTTTTGATTGATTCAGTTAAAGGCTCAAAGATGTGGGACATTGATGGTAATGAGTACGTTGATTATGTCGGATCTTGGGGACCTGCTATCATTGGCCATGCTGATGATGAGGTTAATAGAAAAATCTTATGAGCTCTGTTTTTTACTCTGTTTTTACTCTGTTTTTTTTTTTTTTAACAAAAAACGAACTTTATTGTAGGTTCTTGCGGCTTTAGCTGAGACGATGAAGAAAGGAACAAGCTTTGGTGCTCCTTGTCTCTTAGAGAATGTTCTAGCTGAGATGGTTATATCAGCTGTTCCAAGCATTGAGATGGTTCGGTTTGTTAACTCAGGAACCGAAGCTTGTATGGGTGTGCTTCGTCTCGCTAGAGCCTTCACTAACAAAGAGAAGTTCATCAAATTCGAAGGATGTTATCACGGTCACGCCAACGCCTTTCTTGTTAAAGCTGGTAGTGGTGTAGCCACTTTAGGGTTACCTGACTCGCCTGGTGTACCTAAAGCAGCTACTTCGGATACTCTTACAGCTCCTTACAATGATATTGAAGCTGTTGTGAAGCTCTTTGAGGCTCATAAAGGGGAGATCTCTGCGGTTATTCTTGAACCTGTTGTTGGTAACTCCGGTTTCATCACTCCTACTCCGGAGTTTATCAATGGTTTAAGGCAGCTGAGTAGAGACAATGGTGCACTTCTCATCTTTGATGAAGTTATGACTGGCTTTCGTTTAGCTTATGGTGGTGCTCAGGAATACTTTGGGATCACTCCTGATTTGACTACTCTTGGGAAAATTATTGGTGGTGGTCTTCCTGTGGGAGCTTATGGTGGAAGACGAGATATTATGGAGATGGTAAGATCTGATCCTACATTTATGTTACCTAATAGATGCTCCATTCACAACTGAATAGAGTTCTAGTATTCTCAAGAGAGTATTGTTTAAGTAATGGAGTCAAAACTGGTCCTAGGCCTAGCCAGATAAAACATTTGTCTCGGTCTCTAAAATTAAGTGGTTAATATGTATAGATCATCTGTCCCCAAATTGATTAAGAAAAATAGATAGAGTTCTAACATTAGTATTCTTGAGAGAAAGTATTGTTTAAATAATGTAGTCAGAACCGGTTCTAACCATAGCGAAATGAAACATTCATCCTGGCAGCACCGGTTTAGGCCAAGCCTAATGAAACATTGGCCTTAGGCCTCCACAATTTTGGAAAAAAAAAAATCATAAACAAAGACCCCAAAATAAAATAAAAATTTAGACTTCAAAATTTGTAGAAAAAAAAATTTAGTTGAAATTTTTAATAAATTGCTTATGACCCCCTAAATCTCAAAACCGGCTCTACATCCTGACCCCTATAATTTAGATGGTTAATATGTATATAGATCATATGTATATACATATTAACCAAATTGATTAAGAAGAATATATCAATTGATCATTTAACCCTTTATCCGTAATTGTTTCAAGTCTCCTAAATCTCAGAACCGCCTCTTAGTGTAGCTAATCTTAGTATAGTTAACTTAATCTTAGTGTAGTTAATAATATTTATGTTATTCTGTTATTTTTGTGTGGTTGCAGGTTGCTCCTGCAGGACCAATGTACCAAGCAGGGACACTAAGTGGCAACCCATTGGCAATGACGGCAGGGATTCACACCCTGAAGCGTCTAAAGCAGCCAGGAACATACGAGTATTTAGATAAAATCACTAACCAACTAACCAACGGGATCCTAGAAGCCGGGAAGAAAACAGGACATGCAATGTGTGGTGGTTACATAAGTGGTATGTTCGGTTTCTTTTTCACGGAAGGACCTGTCTACAACTTCGCGGATGCAAAGAAGAGCGACACGGAGAAGTTTGGTAGGTTCTTCAGGGGAATGTTGGAAGAAGGTGTTTACTTTGCTCCATCTCAGTTTGAAGCTGGGTTTACTAGCTTGGCTCACACTCAAGAGGATATACAGTTCACGATTGCTGCGGCTGAGAGGGTTCTTGGTAGGATCTAGAATGCTAGAACCCAAGCTGGAGTGTTGTTGATGAACGTATGTTTGTGTAGTGAGTTTTATTTTTTTTTCATCGGTAGCTTGAGATTTTTGTATGATGAAAACTATCCGTTTTTGTTATTGTAATGTTTTAAAATTAAACTGATTAGTCCTGTTGAACTTGTCTGTTATCTAGAACAGGAATACAGATTGAATTGATAAATAGTACTCTCCCCTTTCATATTAATTATTTTTGTAGAATTCTTTTTTATTATAAAATAAATATCATATTTGGTTTTTAATATAATATTTTAACTTTATTTTTCTATTAGTTAAAATATATTTAATTAAAATATATGATTTTGTTTATCCTTATATTATTAACATGATGTTTATGAGCTTTAGACTTGATATGTTATTTCAAATTAATTATAAAAATTTAAATAGAGATTGAATCAATTTTTTTAATTAGCGTGTAACCTATAGAACGTCAAATAAAATAAAACGGAGAAAATAATTAGATGTATAGGTAATTATATTTTATATAAGAAATATATAAAATTAATTAATTCTTTAATCTATGTACACAAATATAAAATGATACTTAAAATAAAACAGAAGAAATACTATTCAGTGATTTTTATCACTTCTAAAAAAAAATTAATGTAAAAAAAAACAGAACAAATAATTTCACATGTAGGCACAACATACAACGGTACAAGACAATTTCACTATAATATGTAATTAACTGAATTCTTTTTTGAAGATTATTTTTGACATTACTTATTAAAGCATACAATTTTTGAAGATTTTTTTTGACATTACTTATTAAAGCATGTAGGGTTTATGAATAATAAGCCAACAACGAAACAATGGATGATCAATCTCTCTCCCATCAGTTTCTGGATTATGAGATTTTCTCAGTCAAGAGGAAGCTTCTTAAGCTTACTAAACTTGAAGTCTTTGTAGACAAAAGGCTTGAACTTAGGAGCATTATCGTCGCCGGTTATCAGTTCAGGTAAAGGTCCAAACTCATGATCAAGGCTAGATTCCACAAAAACCGGCCATGACATTCTCGTCTTCTCTTTATCCATCGTTGCTCTATGTTCCGCACTTTTGTACTTCCCATTACTCATCCTCTACAAAATCATCAATTTAGAAAAAACAAAATGAACGTATAATATATATTTATTTTGAAATTCTTTGAATACCATGGTCCACGGTTTATAATTTTTGAGAAAGAGCTTCCATGGTTTATAAAATGGCTTTCATTTTTATCATATTAATCAAAGAACCACTTTGATCTTGATATTTTTTTTTCGTATTTCTCTTTTTGCTTTCATTGCACCTAAACTATAAAACTCAATGAGCTTCATTTTTAGTTTCATTTTCTATTTTAGTAAACTCTTCTTGATTACATGGTATTATAAGACTAATTTTCTATGACATGTGGAAGCTATATTTTCTCTTTCAAATTATACTCTATGTCTAACTATAGTTGAACTTGCACTTTTCAATGTAATATAGTCACTAGCCACCAGGATTCGAGTCACGACTACTGGAGATTTAACATTTTGGCATCGCTAGGGATATATGACTGACACGTGGCAACACATAACTAGTATAAACCACTTCTGTGGAGCCATGATACTTTTGTATAATTCAAAAAAAAAATATATAGTCATTTGAAGTTCATTATTTTCTGACCTGGAATTGATCGCCGATGATGACTATGATCCCCGAAGTGGTACACTTTGTGTCGATCCAGTGATCATCTTTAAACGCCTGGAGTCCTGTCGCCTCGTTAGCAACTAGGAATGTGACTGCACCAATATCAGTGTGAACCGGAGCTCCGACGACCAAATCTGGACCATGATATGGTGGATAGTAATTGATCTTCATGAGATATTCCACCGCTTCACCGCCCAAACCTTCCTTCAATGCCTCACGTCGTAAACCTAATCCTTCTGATAACCATTCCATGATTTTCTCTGATAGCTTCTTTATGTGGCTTGCATACTCCTCGTTCACTTCCCTGTTCCCAAAAATCCATATTATCCGATTATATTGTTCTAAGAAAAGTCTAAAACATTTGATGATATTCCATAAACATACTATATAAATTAGAGAAATTTACTTAAATAACTCAAATTAATTGTGTTATTACTCATATTTTTCAAAAATTATTAGAGTATTTTTCTTGTCGAAATTACCCTTATCTATACTATAGGAAAAAAAAGATATTACCAAATTAAGTGCTCTTATCATTTTCGTTGGCAGATTTATTTTTAAAAAAATGAGTAGAATGATACCAAAACATGTATTTTTCTGTTTTGTTTTAGTTGATGTATAAAGTTAATGAAAACATATTAAGGTGTGAATTTGAATTTAGTTTATCTTGATAACATAAAAACATTATTAATCAAAATGAATTCAGCTAATAAAAATATACTATTATTTAATTAGTTACAAATCTCAAAAATAAAAGTTTAGTTCGAAAACAGTATAGATATGGACCTGTATTCCTGAGGATTCTTTGGCCAGAATCTGTAACTAACTCTGGATGGTGGCCAGATACGGTGAAAGAGATGATCAACCCATGCATCTCTACCATCTCGATCCTTCGTGAACCTTGTTCTATACCCCTCTACGTCCGTGGAGTCTTCTGGCTTTGCTATGACTTCCTTCTCTGTCTCCGGAAGCTCGAAGAACTCCTTCCCAACGTCCTTTAACCGCTGTATCAGCTCCGAGGGGATCCCATGATTAACCACTTGGAAAATCCCCCATTCTTGGCTCGCTTTGACCACCGCATGAGCCACTAACTCTTCGTTGGGGTTACTTAGATTGATGATAGGGACTTCCATCGCTGTGGCTTGGAACGTAATGGCGGGTTTCTCCTTCTCTGATGGGAGTGATGAATGAGATGTGTGTTGGTTTAGATTTTGAATGGAGGGAGAAGTTGGGGAATATGTACGTGTTTATATAATAAAGTTACATTTAAATGTTACATCAGTCCCATAACTCGCATTGATATTATCATGTCATATTACTTAACTTTACCACGTATCCTTTTGCCCTAAGCGATTGGTTAATTCTCTAATTCTTACCAACTTTCCGAAATAGAAAGTAGCGTTAAACACGGCGTGCATTTTGTTGGCTTATACGTGATCCGGCTCAATTTATCTTAACATATATTATATTCAAACTTTGAAATACTTGAACAAAATTTCAAACGTATATATTCAAAACCATTATGTGCAGGATGGCACATATAACTAGAAGAATCAATCTTGGTCATCAAACTATTAGAGCATGGCCATAAATTAGAACCCATTATAAATTGTAATGATTAAATTAAAAATAAATAAGGTGATTTGGCAAGTTTAGAACTTTGGTTAATGGAAATAAAATTTTCCTCCTCCAATGGAGGGATTCTTAAAGAAGCTATAAAACATGAAACATATACATATTGTCTTCTTATGTAACAAGCAATGTCACAACTCATAAAGCTAGAACCAAAAAAACACAACATGTCAATATATATGAAATAGTGATCTAGTGTCTTCTTGTGTCACGAGACAACATCAAAGAGTGATCTTGTGATCTTGTGTCTTCTTGTGTCTTATTTTGTCACGAGTTTCTCATGTCTACTCACATCTGCAATGAAAACATAGAGACAACAAAAACATCAGACCACCACAACCAACAAAGACTGAAAGCAACATAACAAGACAACATCAAAGCGTGATCACACGAAATATTGAAGACATTAAGCGAAATATTATACAGACCAAGTCATTTAGCATTAAGCATTACATTAAGGGAAATATTTTACAGAACAAGACAACATCAAAGCATGATCACACGAGATAACAAACTACAGACCCGACAATAAGGATTACAAGAATCGAACACAAACAAGATTCTAAAACATCAACCTGATCTAAGATTGTAAAACACATCTCAAAAAGACTATATGTTTTTTTTAACTTGGGATATCCTAGATCCATGCGATACTTCAGTCTATTATTAACTTAATCTTAGTGTAGTTAATAATATTTATGTTCTATATTTTTTTTTGTGGTTGTAGGTTGCTCCTGCAGGACCAATGTACCAAGCAGGGACACTAAGTGGCAACCCATTGGCAATGACGGCAGGGATTCACACCCTAAAGCGTCTAAAGCAGCCAGGAACATACGAGTATTTAGACAAGATCACTAACCAACTAACCAACGGGATCTTAGAAGCCGGGAAGAAAACAGGACATGCAATGTGTGGTGGTTACATAAGTGGTATGTTCGGTTTTTTTTCACGGAAGGACCTGTCTACAACTTTGCGGATGCAAAGAAGAGCGATACGGAGAAGTTTGGTAGGTTCTTCAGAGGGATGTTGGAGGAAGGTGTTTACTTTGCACCGTCTCAGTTTGAGGCCGGGTTTACTAGCTTGGCTCACACTCAAGAGGATATACAGTTCACGATTGCTGCTGCTGAGAGGGTTCTTGGTAGGATCTAGATTGTTCTAGAACCCAAGCTGGAGTGTTGTTGATGAACGTATGTTTGTGTAGTGAGTTTTTTTTGTTTTTTTTTTCATCGGAAGCTTGAGATTTTTGTATGATGAAAAACCATCCCTTTTGTTAATGTAATGTTTTAAAATTAAACCGATTAGTCCTGTCCTGTTATTTCGAACAGGAATACTGCTTGAATTAATAAATAGAACTCTTTTCGTTACGAATAAATGTTATTTTTGATTTTGAATGGAGGGAGAAGTTGGGGTATGTACGTGTTTATATAATAAAGTTACATTTAAATTAAATACTACATCAGTCCCATAACTCGCATTGATATTATCATGTCATATTACTTAACTTTACCACGTATCTTTTTCCCTAAGCTATTGGTTAATTTTCTAATTCTTACCAACTTTCCGAAATAGAAAGTAGCGTTAAACACGGCGTGCATTTTGTTGGCTTATCGTGAGGTTTATCCGGCTCAATTTATCTAACATATATTATGTTCAAACTTTGAAATACTTAAACAAAATTTCAAACGTATATATATATTCAAAACCATAACATGCAGGATGACATATATAATTAGAAGAATCAATCTTGGCCAAAAGAAAAATAGTGATCTGATGCAAATTGGGCTCACACATGAATAACATACCCTCCAGTCTCCCCAATTGAATATTGAAGGTTCTTCTCTGTTTTCATTCTTTGTTTTTTTTTGGGCAAGGTACAGCCTGCTGGTTAATCTACTTTGTAAACTTTACAAACAGTCTCATTAATTATCTAATGTAATTCAAATGTTTGTCAAGAAAACATATAATAATAACGTTAAAAAAAAAAAGCAATATCTGATGTCGTTTGCAGACTCAAAAATTTATGGATACCTTTCTTCTCAAAACATATACAAAACGGGTAAGTGGACGAATAATTAATAACTATTAGTGTCCTGCCCTTATGCAGTTGTTGTGTTTCTCGTTGTCAAGGAGGTGATATTGTATATCTAACTCTTTTTTTTTTGAAACTGATATATCTAATTTTTTTTTACTGAGAACTTTATATTTTGAAGAGCATGTACAACCCCAAGAACCTTCAAATGGTTCTTACTCTTTTTTTTTTATCTGATTTTTTTTTAAAAAAGAAAAAAAAAATTAAAACTAACTAATCACGGATCGCCACGTGTTACTGGGATCCGTGAACAGTACAAGAATTTCCTAAGAAGTGTATTTTAGTTTTTTTGCGGGGTCTACACTCGTTAAGAATCCCATAAGAACCCGGGTTGCACATGCTCTTAGAGCTACACGGTAATATATATATCATATCATATTGTATATATTTTGGTGTACTTAATTAACTTTCCAGGAATCAAAAAATATTACTGTAATAGCACATTAGGTACACCGAGATCTTAAGATAGCAGATATTATATACTTATTCAATATGTTATACAGCGACTATTTTGTATTATTATTATTATTTTTTAAGTTTTCTTTAAGATGTATAGTCAAGATCGTTTATCACGTGAAGCAATGAGCTATATAACAAAAGTCAACAAAAATGCCATATAGCAAAGCTTGTCTCAAACTAGAAAAAAGGAAATGTGATTTAACTCACTGAGAATCCTGTTGAAGAACTTTATTTGAAAGCTAAATTGATGAAGCGCATAACGCATAAATGGATAAGCATATATTTTATCAGCAAAATAATATTATACATGCTTGATTTGAGTTGCAACGACGTCATTAGCTCAAACTATTAGACTATATATTTAGCACAATCTTCATGTTTCATATTTTAGCATTGTACGTAGAAGATCATTCATTTTTCTTGTGTATTATGCTTGTTTTTTTTCTTGGTATTGAGTTGTTTCGTTTTTATTCCTTTTAGATCTTGCAATGATATATTCGTTAATAAGATTTCTGAATAGATAAAATGAAAAATTAGAATAGTTTATTTTTTGAGCTTTATATGAATATTTGACCGTCCTATAGCAAGCAAAAAAAGAATATTAACACACAAAAATAAGCAAAAAAACATGACCGTTCAAATCCATGATATTAAAATATATACAACACGATAAACACAACACTTTAACTTCAACAATAATGATTTATTAGCAACTGCAAGGCGCAATAATCCAATAACGAAGCAATACATTATGAGATTCCTCTTGTGATGAATCAATACAATAATGTTGTCTCTCCTCTGTTTCTTGGTCATGAGTCTTTATCTCAGTCGAGAGGAAGTCTATTCCAGATATGAAATTTGTAGTCTCTGAAGATATAAGGCTTGAACTTGGGAGCATTATCGTCGCAGGAGATTAGTTCCGGCAGAGGTCTGACAACGTGATCAAGATTAGGATCCACAAAAACCGGCCACGAAATTCTCGTCTTCTCCTTATCCAACGTCGCCCTATGCTCACCTCTCTTATACTTTCCATTACTCATCCTCTACAAAATCCACAATTTCACAAAACAAGGATACATAATGAAATTTTATATAATTCAAATACATCTTATTTACCTCACTATCCTATATTATGATCTTTTCAAAATTTCTTAGACTAGTTATAATAATATTCCGTTAGTTTTTTGTGATCTCATTGAGTTCTTTCTCTACTTTCTCCTATATTTTTCTTTTCTTTTCTAATTTTTATTTTGTGAAATACTCAAAAAACAACTCACCAATATATTCGTTTTAATTTTGTCTTTCTGAATATACACTGTTATCTCTCCTTCCAACTTTATTATTTTATAAATACTCAAAAACAACTCACCAATAGTGTTGTTTATTGCATCAACATTTATTATTATTTTTGGTGAGAAAGTTTTTTGAAAAAAAAACTACTAGTGTGTATGTTCTTATATACTTTTGTCCTTTTAAAATTCTACACCTATTATTTTCCTAATGTTTTATTTTGTGAAATACTCAAAAAACACAACTCACCAACCTGATGTTTTATTTTTAAAGTTACACACTATAAATGGAAATCGCAGTGAAAACGATTCCTTAGAGTTGCTTAATTTCTTCTTACATGGACTTGATCGCCAATGATGACGACGATCCTGGAGTCATCATACTTGACGTCGAACCAGTTGTTATCCTTAAACGCCTGAAGTCCGTAAACCTGGTTAGCGATCAAGCACGTGATCCCACTAAGATCAGTATGAGGCGGAGTTCCGTACTTCACATCTTGATCTTGACACGGCCGATAGAAGATAACCTTCATCAGATACTCCACAGTTTCTCCACCAAGACCTTCCTTCAACGCCTCACGACCTAACCCTAATCCTTCAGACAACCACCCCATGATTTTCTCCGACAGCTTCTTTATCTCCTTTGCGTATTCCTCGTTCACTTCCTTGTAATCTTGAATGTTATTAGGCCAGAATCTGTAGTTGACTCTAGACGGTGGCCAGATCATGTGGTAGAGATGATCTGCCCAGCCATTTAAATTTGCTATGTATCCTTCCGTGTTTCTGAAGTCTTTTGGCTTCGCTAGGGCTTTCTTTTCCTCCTCTGGAAGCTGGAAGAACTCGGTTCCCACTTCCTTCAGCCGTATTATCAGCTCCTGAGGGATCCCGTGGTTAACCACGTGGAAAATCCCCCACTCTTCACTTGCTTTCACCACCGCACGAGCCACGAGGTCTTCGTTTAGGTTACTTAGATCGACCACGGGGATCTCTTCCGGGGCTGAGGTTGTCTCCATTGTTTTTTTTCTTCTTTCACTTCACTCTCTTTTGCTTAGTTGTGTCTAGTACTTGTTGAATGCCAGAGATGTTAAAAGATATTATAACTAGAGTTAGACATCGGTCAGGTTAACTTATTCAATTTATTAACCGAATTTAAATTTAATTATCCTAGATTTGATATCCAAACTTCTAATATTTTAATATTTTACATTAGCCGTGTTCTTTTGGTAGACGCTGGTGTCAAAGAAAATACAAAGGACAGGGCTTTTATCGTGAATGAATCCTTATTATCATATTTTCAATATACTAAAATACAAAACCAAAAAAAACATTGAAACAGTATAATTATGACAGCACATTATTAGATATATAATAATTCTCATTCCAAGAAAATAGGTATATAATAATAGGTACTGAATCTTCTATATTAAAAGAGAAGTACCATTTATATCTACTACAAAAAGTCATATTGGACTATTTCATTAATATAACATATTTGATTATTTATATTAATCAACCAAATATATATTACTGAAGAAATATTTTAATAATATATAACTATAAAGTTATCTTTAATTTCATTTATAACAAAATCTGTTGAGAAAATATCTAACA